ATTGGTTGAATGATGAATTGTTATTGGTTTGAAAGCCTGTCATAAACAATGATAAATTAAATACACAAGTGTTTAAGCAGGTCGAAAAGGAATAAAGGACGTTGTTTCACCCGATTAATTCCTGTAGTACAACCCATATAACTGGGCTGTTAATTGATTGATCTACTGGTTACCCCCCACTAGACACCAATGAAGCCCTAGACCAATGTTCTACCACAGATTGCCCAGTTGGCTTGCGCTCCCAAGCCTCAGACAGCGCAGCTGATGGCTTCTTTCATCCAAGTCTGAATTTGGGGGTGCACCTGCAAAGTTGTTTTTTAAAAGTCTGCCCAAAGTGCGCCTGCTTTGTTTTGATACAAGGTTTTCCCATTTTTCGTGTTTCAAGCCTCTGTATACATCAGACACAACGCAAACAATTAGATAATATACATTTTAGGGCGTGGTGCAAAAAAGAAATAAAATAAAATCTTCACAATAAACACACTCTCTCTGTGCATAATTATACTCTAGAGAATGTAGACATTATATTTTTTCCTGGATGCAAGACACAGCAATAACTAAACAAAGGCCAAACCATAGACCAAGAAAGCAGAAATTACTCACACAACAAGCACAACAAGACACTACTATACACAATTCCGTTTATTTTTGGAGCCCTGCACCACACTCTTCGCATGCGACTTTGATGCGGGCTCACACTATAAAGCCCTTCTTTCTCAGATCGGCCTTAACCTCTAGGAGCAGCTTTTCGTCCGTTTTCTTAAGGTACGAGAACAGGTACTCAAAGTATGACCTTCTCTGGAGAATTGACAGGCCGGGTATCCACGCGGTGAAGTCGCTTATAACATCCCCGTTTTCCGCAAAGAACATTTTATCCATCGCGTCTTCGATCTCGTCTTCTGTGAAGGCCGTGCTGCTCTGCAGGGCGTCAAATATAAAGACAGATACATCACCAGGCACGCTCTGCAGATAGTTCAGGTAGTGCCTGCATATTGCGTCAGATCCCTCCTCTTTAAGTATGGACATTCGGTCGCTCGCTTCGTACTGTTTGTCCCACACGCTGCTCTTTTCAGATATTCTGCCTATGCGTATTTTAACGAGAAAGTCAAACTCAACAAGAGGCAGTGCCTCAACATGCATGCAGCAGTGCTCCAGAACCCGAGTGCATGCCCCATCAAGTGCGCCTGTAGAGTTGGCTATGCACCACAGATCGTATCGCAGTGTAGGAAAACCAGAGCAATCCTTCGACACCTCATTTGAAAGCGGTATTTTCCCGTTTTGCAGGCTGCTTTTTCTACTTACATCGCGGTGCATGCACACTCGCTTTATGCCCTTTAAAGCCACTTTTAGGGCAATGCACTCCTGCTGTGTTGGGATCGACTCCTTGTCTTTTTTGTGCTTAATCAGCTTCCTAGCGCTCTTGTACGCTATAAGTATGCTCAGCATTATGCTGTGAACACTTAGCAACGAGCTGATATTTTCCATTTTCTTTCTGTTCACAAAGCATGTAACAAATACGTTTGCTGCCTTTCTGCAGTGATCGTATATAGAGATGAGGGAAGACCGGTCAGTTCGTGCGGCAAGTGCCTGTGTGTGCAAGTGCCTTATATACTCGCAGTATGTGGGCGCATCAAAAGGCCGGGCAGCAATTGCGCTTTCAAAGTCTCTCTTGTGCATAAACACTCGGTATGCCTTCTCAAAGAATAGGCACTCCTGATTCGGCAGTATGTACAGGCGTCCAGGCCTCTTGAGGGCTTTTCTAACAACTTCCACCGACCGCATAAAGCTGTTCCCCGGCACATGCACGACACTTCTGTCCGGAAGTATGACCTTGCACTTTTTAAAGAGGCACTTCTGCTTCAAAAAGTACCCGAAAAACGATGCATGCACACAGTCCGACAGAAGCAAGAGACAGACCGCCTCCGAAAAGTTAAAGTACTCCCTCACAGGAGAGACGCCTCCCTCAAAAAGGGCTTTTATTTCCTGCTTGGAGACTCTGTGCGTGTACAGGCATGCCCGCAGAAAGTACGACTGCATAACAGGCGATGCTCGGACAAAGGCGTGCTTTATCTCCTCAAAGGGCACGCTCTGAATCCCACAGTATGCAAGCAAGACCAAGTTGTACTCAGAGTTTTGCAGAGACTTTCTGAGCACTTTACTGAGAATGTAGTGAATGCTGTTCTTTATCCCGGACGAGGGCGTGTTTAGCTTTTCCAAATTTTCCAAACGATCCGACGGGGGGGCAGGCCTGGCATTATTCCACAGGAAAGGGCTGTCCCCGCACGAAAAGCTGTCGGAAGTGCTCTCTGAGCTCTCGCTAAAACTGCCGTTTTCAGGGCCAGGTTCTGCTTTTCTCCCAAACAAGGCCAATTCTGGCCCCACATCATCCCCAAACAAGGCTACATCCCCAATTTCCACGTAGTTATTTTCATGCACGTGCTGAACTACATCGTCTGAGCTAAGTTCATCGCAGAGGTATCCCACTAGCACACTGCACAAACTGTTTATATCGGTATTGTACACTTTGCAGATGCAGGTTTCTCGCACGCGGTGCCTGTGCTTATTGCAGAACAGCCACGAGTGTATCTTATTCCGCACAGACTTAACGTATTTCTCCACTTCCGCATGCCTATCGCACAGACACAGGTATTTCAGGGCAAATTCCACCATTTGCGCAGAGAGTGCATGAACAGGCACATACTCCAGCAGGACTATGCACATTTTATAGAGGGAATACTCGCTGTCGCAGAATGAAAGCGTGCACGCGTGCGAGGAGCAGAAATCCTCCAAAACAGACACGATGATATAGATTGAGGAAAATGTCTTGGCATCCTGTGGAGAGTCATCCCCTGTCTCCTTCTCCCTTTTCCCAAGCACACCAGAAAGTGCATCCTTGGAGAGTGCAAATCCATCGATTTGCGAGATCTCATTGGACACAATCAGCGCGTGCATCCTCCACATAATCGCGTGTACGTCCCCAGAAATCTCTTCCACCCTGTCCACGTGCGAAAACTCTATTCTGTGTTTTGCCTGGATTCCAACCCGTACACTCTCCATGAGAACAGAGAGACTTTTCTTTTGCATCCTGTTTATGCAGAATATGCTATTTATGTAGTCTCCCGTGCTGTTATAGTGCTCTAGTTTGGACTCTTCAGAGGGCGATAGCTCCCGTATAATGTGCTCGCACGCTTCCAGGTTCCCCTCAGAAGTCGCAATTCGGAGAGCATTTGAAGCTGCAAGCTCCTTTACCTTCCAGCCATCATTTTTTCCCTCCAAAGTGCACTCAGCCACCGCCAGCAACTCTTCGAGTGAGCCATTTCTAAGCCCAACAATGTACTTTTGGACCCTACTTTCGCTCTCCCCGGGAGTGCTTTCTTCATTCTCTGCTGTAAATTTCATTCTGAGTGCATAAAATTTTTATGCACATAAAAGAAGAAGTAAAGCAGACGCTAATACACAACGACAGCATCTTGCTAGTGTGCAAAAACACGGTTCTAGTCCACGCCCTGGAAACAGGCAAGCACATAAACACGCTGGAAAACAAGCACAGCAAATACCATCCATACAACAACAGAATATACACGATAGAGAACAGAAGCATATGCGAGTATAGCCCAGAAGAGAACAAAGAAGCAAAAATATGCGATCTTGAAAATGTATTTGCAAAATGCGAAAACATCGCACCTGAAATCGTGATTTTAGGAAAATATGCATCTGATCTTTCCAGGCTGCGGAGCCACGCACTCGAGCACCCGAAAGCAGGAGTCACATACGCCCACATAAGCAGCACGCACGTGCACTTTTATGCCGTGAAAGAGAGCAGTTTGCACATTCTCCACGCGCACAGATACAGTGGAGAAAGTGGAGAAAACGAGGGAAAAAGCACTTTCTGCCCTATTCCATTCGCTCTCTACAAATGGCACAAAGACACGCTGTATACACTGCACGGGAGTACTCTTCATGCACACGACGTGCTTGCAGGAGAGTCGAAAAAGGTCGCAGAGTTTCCGGGCGCAGAAATCACAGCCCTGGAGGTCACGAGTGCTTTTGTCGCGGCAGGCACGAAGTGCAGCCAAATCATGATCCTGAACCTGGCCTCGTCTTTCCTCCAGAAGGTAGCGTATTATTCTTCCCCTCTTTTCTCCTTGGACGCCCTCACAGAGAGCATAATCGCGTCAAAGGGAGAAGACGGAAAGATCATAACCGTCGACTGCAACTCCCTTCTGAAAACGTACATCTACACGGACCAGACGAAAGTCCGGGACCGATTCACCCCGCACGAAGAAGGCACACAGAGTACAGTTTCCCCGAATGGATACATAGTCCTGGACAGAAGAGCAAGCATTCGGGTTATTAACATTCCCACGCGCACAAAGTACACCCTCTACAAGACACACGGGGCAAAGTGCATCCCCGTGGAGGCTGTGCGCAGCGATGAAGAGTCCAGGTTTGTCCCCACCTTCAGCGAGGCCAACAAAAAGCGCGATATATGGCTCGATGCGAAGGAGGAAAAAGAGGAGGGCAGCACTTTCGCATATTGCATGGATAATGTGCTCGTGTTTGTGCGAAATGAGAAAGTGCTCCGGATCGTGGAGGAGCCCAGCAGGATACAGCAGGTTCTCTACTCGAACGGACACTTGCTCGTCTCGGTCGTTGACTCGGAGGAGATGGAGGTGATTCGCGAGTACTCGGTCGAGCAGAAGCCAAGAATGCGCCATAAAATGTACAAGATCCTGCCGAATGGCGTGGAGAGAGTGTACAGCGGACTCGTAGAAGCAGAAGGAGACATAACGGGAGTGCACGTGGGGGATACGACCGTTCTGACCCTGCAGGCAGCAGAAGAAGTGCGCACGCAGGAGCACATATACCCAATGGGAGAGATAGTATACTGAGGCACGCACACAGCACGAAATAAAGAGATAGTTATAGGCAGTAGTATATGCGCAGAGACAGAAATAGACAGAAATAGACAGAAAAACATATAGAGTGCCCGCATAGAGTTGCTGTTTATATAGGCAGTAGATGTGCTTTGGCAGGCAGGGATATATTCTCTGGCAGATGCAGTCTTTTCAAGAAGGAAATAAATAGATCAATGAAAAGATGTTTTTGAAAATAAAATTCCCACTTGGCACTTCCCAGGCTGCACTCAGAGCGTAAATTGGAAAATAAAAAATAAAATAAAATGGAGTGTGGGTGGAACAAGTGCAAAGAAGTCTTTCAAGACCAGAAGGACTTTGCTACGCACGTGAACAAGCACATACGGGAAACAGATGCCAGATCGTGCATGTGGAAAGACTGCAAAAAAGTGTTTGAAAAGAAAATAAGCAAATGCACGCTGCTGACCCACATACGGGTCCACACGAGGGAGAAGCCTTTCAAGTGCTCTCTCTGTGCTAAGGAGTACAGCCGGTCTGATGCGCTGAATAAGCACATGAAATCGCACGAGCAAATAGCAGCGGATGAGAATGTGTATATAAAGAAGCTGGCATATCTCTGTGTTTTGCAGCAGGAGATAGAAGACAGCATCCTGCACGCCCAGGAAGAGTACAAAAGGACAATCGTGGAGAACGAGGTCCTGCTGGACTACATATGCAAGAGCAAGAGAGGACCGAATAACCCGAATAGAGCACGCCCCCAGCACACGCGCAGCTAAACAAGCTGCAGAAAGCCCAGAAAAGGGCAGGCATAAGATGCGATGCCGGAAAACTGCCTGCACTTTTGCAGATGCTAATTCAAAGCGTGCCCTGTTTGCTTTGCAGGCTTTCTTTAGGAGCTGCATCTTTGCATCGCTGCATCTTTCTGATTTTCCGGCTTAGCGCACTCGGGATGCGGATCTTTGGAATTTTGCCATGTTATATGTGAGAGCAGGTGCTCGTAATTGTTATTGCTTAGACGGGCCTAATTAAAGGGGCATAACTTAGATATTAAGGGATAGATTAAATAATGTCTATAAGCACTCCAATAAAAAAGGCCTGAATTTCAGTTAGAACTTCCACTATTACAACTGCCACTTTAACGCCCTGATATTTGGCCAGAAATGACTAATCTTACTCGGCATAGTTGTAAAAGGGTTTGTATAGCAGAGGCATAGTTTAAGCTTCTGGCCATCCGCCCAAAGTGGGGCATGCATAGAGCCTACTATGATACACAAACTCCTATACTGTGTAGTCAGCTAATCCGCAACCCATGGGATAGGGAGGCGCAAGTCGGATCGATAGGCTCTTTGACTCTCCCGACGATGTGCCTGAAGTGAGATATTCGGAGAGTGGATCTAGGAAAGGCATAGAGCCAGAGAGAAGATAAATCAATAGATTCAAAACGTTAGTATAGTAAGAAGAAAAAAGAGCGAGTCTACAAACAAGTGCAATAGTGAAAAATAAAAAAGACAGAGAGCAGGCCTTGAAAAGAAAGAAGAAGTTTTTATAGCAGAAATAGTACTGATTTACGCAGGAATAGTGCAGTGCATATGAGAAAAGCAGATGCATCCAGAGTATTTGAGAGCTGCACGACAGGAGATAAATTCCCTTTCTTAGAACTCTCGTGCAGAGGGGCCGGGAGAGGGCATCTGCTTAGAAAAAGCTGCGGGAGAGATGGAAGTAAATCACAGCTACAATGCGAGATAATTAGCCAGAGACAGCACATTATTAGCTTGCCTGTAGTTGTAGGCATTTTATGCGTATTGGCTCTGGGATTTCCATTCGAATAAACCCGTAGAATAAATTTGATGCAGCCTTCAAACTATATATAGAGAAAATACGTGTCTATTTATGGAGTCAATGACAATTTTAAAAACAAATAAGAAGTCTGATGGTAATGCGTATGTTATGCAACTTGATGAAAAAGAGGAAGAAGCAAGCAAGGTCTTGTCGATATGCAAGAAGGTGCCTTACTTGCTTCTAATCGTGGTGGAGTGTGTGCTTGTGGGAATTGCATGGTTTTCTATTATCTCAATAAAGAGAAAATATTATACACACGAGTCTACAAACTAAACCCGTCTAAAATAAATCGTGTGTTTACAGCTTTTTTCACGTTTTCTTGGCAGAGAGCAATTCGGCAACGCTAAGCAGAGAGCATGGCAGGTATCACTACGGAGCAAGGAATTTCTCCGATGGTGTACATTATTCTCAGCACATTGGAAAAATAGCGCATGCCTATGGACTTTCCTGCCTTTACTCTCCCAGCTTGAAGTGCTGGCTTATTTGCTCTCTGCTGTTATTTTTGCATATTACACATGTCAATCTATGACTTGCAATTATTAAAGTGTAATCTAGCAATATTTGTATCACATTTTTATTATCACGGGTGGTTGAAAGCTATATATAGATGGAGTAATTGGGTGCTATGGAACTAGAAAGCATCTGCGCAGAAAACAAAACTATGGAAGACTGCCCTATACTGGAGACGGATATTAATGAAGCGCCAGAAACAAGACGGGGACTAATGAAGCTGGCTTATGCGATTCAGATAGTATTCACCGTGGTCTACTCAATAGTGCTTTTCATCTTAGTATTATTCGGGATTTGGGCGATAACCCGTGACGAGCTGGGAACAGTGATCAGAGACCAAAACCCGAAATAAAGCAACAACTATAACGGACTAGAAATTCCACTTTTGTACTTTCCCCTTTTGGAAATTTGCCACTCTTATTCTATTAAATCTGCAACCTAAAGTATAAATTCAGTGATTTCTGTAAAAATTTGCAGGCACAGAGAGACAGCACAGAGCATAGATATGCCGGCTGCATAAAAAACGGAAAATCATCATATTAATAGCACATCAGCTAACAGATAACAAACAAAAACAACCATATCATCTTATTATACTAGTAACTAACTAACATACTAACATAGCATAACTAACTAACTATCTTACTAACTAACATAACTAACTATCCACTAGTTTACTATCTTACTATCTTACTAACTAACTATCTTACTAACATAACTAACTATCTTACTATCTTACTATCTTACTATCTTACTAACTAACTATCTCACTATCTTACTATCTTACTAACTAACTATCTTACTATCTTACTAACTAACTATCTTACTATCTTACTAACATAGCATAACTAACTATCTTACATACTAACATAGCATAACTAACTAAGCATCAGCCTGCATGTATTGCTTACTGTACTATCTCACTTTATGCACTCTTTGGGATATATTTTCTTTTTCGATTATATTTTTATGTGCATTTCTTTGCTGCCAAAGAGCGTAATTGAGAGTATTTCCGCAGGGGAAGTCATCACGTCTCCCACTGCCTTGGTTAAGGAGTTGTTGGAGAACAGCCTGGACAGTGGCTCTACATTTATACGGGTATCTTTAACGGACAAATTACTTGATAAAATCCAGATAGAAGATAATGGCTCCGGAATAGAAGAGCACGATCTGCCTCTTCTGTGCACGAGGCATGCAACGAGCAAGCTCTCCACGCACGAGGACCTATCGAGCATATCTACGCTTGGGTTTCGGGGTGAAGCCCTTGCTTCTATTTCCGTGCTCTCTAGGCTGTCCGTCAAAACAGCAACCTCCGAGGGCGTGGGCTGCGAGTGCACGTACAACAACGAGCTCCTGTCCAGCAAAGTCCACAAATCCGCCAGAAAAGGCACGACCATCCTTATATCCGACCTATTCTACAACGACAAGAACAAGTACTACACGTACTTAAGCAGCAAGGCCGAGCACAAGAAAATAGTCGCTCTCATAACGAGGTATTCGCTCTGCTACACGCACGTGTCGTTTGAGGTCGTCTCTGGAGCAGGCACGAAAGCGTACAATCGAGTCCCCAGCAGCAAAATAGCAGCAATTGGAAGCGTATTCACGCAGGAGCTTGCAAATGAAATATCGGTTCTCCACGTGCAAGTTATGGATACGACATGCACATGCTACATTACGCACACGAACATCTCCCTGAGCACGGGCGTCTTTATTATGTTCATTAACAAAAGACTCGTCGAAATACAAAGGGTGAAAAGAAGGCTTGTTTCCGTGTACAAGGAGATTCTTGTCAAGGGAAATCCGTTCATATACCTGGACGTAGAGACCCCTTCGAACACGGTCGATGTGAACGTGCACCCGTCAAAGGTCGAAGTCTACATGCAGAACGAGGAGGCCCTTCTTGCAGCAGTCGAGCAGAAAGTGCGGGAGCTCCTGCAGACGCACAAGAGACTCGGAGGATCCGTCCGGGAGTGGAAATCCTCAGCAAAGGGCAGGCCCACTCCAAGTGCCACAGACGCGGATATCCAGAGAAGCGACAGAAGCAGCCCCGAAATGCCTGCAGAGGGGAGAAAATCAGAACAGCATATAAATAGCAGCTTTATAGTGACGGGTGCGGAGAAAAGCAGGCCCGAAATGCCTGCGGATGGGAGTGCGTCTGCAAATTACGCAGGCAATGCACAGAACGTCTTGCAAGACCTGTATACGCAGGAAAGTACCTCGCAGGACCCCGCTCAGAGAGAGTCTTTCCGCAACTCTCCTGCGAAGAGGGTCCGTGCTGACGGGAAAGCCAATCCGCTGAGCATCTTCATGAGCCAGCCCCGCGACGAAAGCAGCTACAGCCAGGCAAGCGAGAGCATTTTCATGTCGCAGCCCCCTGAAGCCTCGAGTGATGCCTCTCCGGCGCAGGAAACAGGCTCGTGCTTCCTCGCAGACGGGATCTTCGTGGGAATGCTCTCCAAAAAGTGGGGGCTCGTTCAGAGCGGGCCTGATCTGTACGCAGTGGACCTCCTGGAGTCGGTTGCCCACTTTTTGGAGCAAACTCCCCCGGCAGGACAGATTCTTTCCGTCTCCTTCGATCCTCTGGGGGAAAGGCAGAAAAGCGGAGAAGTAAAAGTCCGGGCTGTGGAATTTTCATCAGACGCATCGTGCCCTGATAAAATGCACTTTTATCTTCCATACGCCCTCCCGGAGACTCTGGGCCCTGCAATTGCGCGCGCCCTTTCTCTCGCCCTGGCCCTTCCCCAGAAGGAGACACTCCGGGCGTGCACCTGCCGAGTGCTTTCTGCTTTTTTCCTCGAGGACTCTCCGCTGCGCCTTTTTAAGGCCCTGAAAGGAGATCTGAGCAGCCACCAGTCGAGAAAGCTCTCGTCCTCGCAGACGCTCTACCAATTATTCAGCAGATAGCCCCCAATACGCGTTCTCAAATTTGCCCAATAGGAAAAAATTGTCTATTTATTTTTGGTTTCTGTGCTCTGCATGAAAAACATATACGCACACGGGAAGTCCCTCAGAGAAAACTACAAAAGCAACCACAAGCGAAGCCTGGAAGAGAAAGACGCCTTCTTTTCAGAGCAAGCGAGAGCGCTCTTGAGCTTCTCCAAGGACTTTTCCAAGGCGAGTTTCACAGACACTGAGCGTGCTGAAATCCGGTGGTTTGAGGACGGGGAAATAAATGCCTGCTACAACGCAGTGGACAGGCACGCCGAATCTACGCCCGATAAAGTCGCGATCATCCACGAGGACGATTCAGAGACACTCACAAAAATCACGTACGCAGACCTCCTCGAAAGAGTCCTTGTTTTTGCGAACTATCTCTCGCAGAACGGCCTGAAAACAGGGGACACCGTCTGCATATACATGCCCATGGAGCCAAACGCCCTCGTGGCAGCACTCGCATGCGCCAGGCTCGGGCTCCCACACACCGTCGTCTTCGGAGGGTTCAGCGCGGAGAGTCTTGCCCTGCGAATGGAGGACTCTGACGCCGTTTGGCTCATCACAGCAGACACCGCAAAGAGGGCCGGAAAAACAATCGACTACATCACGAACGTCTCGGACGCGATGCAAATTCTCAGCGCAGGAGAGAACAAAGCCCTTAGGGGAATGCTCATCTGCAACAGGGAAGAGATGCCTGCGGATAAGATTACGCAGCTCGCAGCCTTTGTTCAGAACGTGCACACGTTTTCCTCCCTCCAGAAAAATTCAGGCTTTATCCCGTGCGTGCCCGTGCCCTCTGAGAGCGTGCTCTTTCACTTGTACACGAGCGGAAGCACAGGAAGGCCGAAGGGGCTTTCCCACAGCACGGCCGGGTATTTGCTGTACGCTGCCCTTACGACGCTCGTGTGCTTTGACGTGCAGGAGAACGACGTCTTTTTTTGCACCGCAGAGCTTGGGTGGATCACAGGGCACTCGTACGTGATGTACGGGCCGCTCACACTCGGAATTACGACAGTCGTTTTTAGCGGAGTCCCCACGCACCCGGACCCGCTCAGACTCTTCCGGGCCGTGGAGAGAGTCAAGGCCACGCATTTGTACACAGCCCCCACGGTCGTGCGTCTCCTGCAGAAGTCGCTTCCGGACTTTTTGGTGCGCCCGTACGACGCAAGCGAGTCCCGGGACGACCTTACGCCCGCAGTGGATCACGTTCCAAATTCCCCCGTGAGCTCGCGCTCCATTTTCTCAACGGGGGGGAACGACAATTTCAAGCGGGAGAGGTACTTCAGAGAGTACGCTCCGGGGACGGAGTACGACCGCCTGGACTTGTCGTCCCTGCGCGTCCTTGGGTCCGTCGGAGAGCCCATAAACAAGGGCGCGTACGTTTGGTTTAGCATGTACTTCGGAGACGGAAAGCTCCCAGTTGTGGACACGTATTGGCAGACGGAGGCGGGAGGGGTCATGCTTTGCCCCGTCATTGGAGTCTCGGAGTACAGGCCGGAGAGCGCGTCTTTCCCGTTCTTTGGGATGTGCCCGAAAATATGCAGGAAAGAGAGCACGGAGGTCGAGGAAGTCCCTGCAGGGGAGATGGGCGTGCTTTTGTTTTGCGGGTTCTGGCCGGGGATTGCACGCACGATCGTAAAGAACCACGAAAGGTTTAAGAGCGCATACCTCCAGTACGAGGGACACTTTTACACGGGAGATGAGGCGGTCGTTGACCAGAGCGGATACTTTTGGATACGCGGAAGAATCGATGACGTCATTAACGTCTCTGGGCACAGGCTTAGCACCGCGGAGATAGAGAGTGCAGTTTGCTCGATCGAGGGCATTTCAGAGGCGGCAGCGCTCGGAGAGGAGGACGAAGTCACGGGGCAGGGAGTGACTATTTTTGTTGTGAAGGCACAGGACGTGCCAGATGAGGTCATTTTCCCGCAGATCCGGCAGGTGCTCAGGAAGAAGATCGGGCCTGTCGTGGCCCCGAAGAGAATGTTTGCGTGCCCAGAGCTGCCAAAGACAAGCACCGGAAAGATGATGCGGAGAGTCCTCAGGAAAATACTCGAGGGAGAGGACGTGGGCGACATAAGCACGTGCATAAACCCTGGCTCAATAGAGCACGCACAGCAGGAGGTGAGCTCCCTGAAGACGCCGCTCCAGTAGCGCAGTAAATAAAAGACACACGAAAATATTCTCCAGAGGCGAGCCCCGCAATGCTTGCAGATGTAACTTGCTATCTTGCTTGGCCGTACACTGCCGCCTTGTTGTTGCTACTGTTTGTTCCTATTACTGTGCTTTCTACTGTTTTGCTATTTCCTGCTGCACTAAGCATTGCCGTCTTATTAGCATTGCCATTACTAACTACATACTATTATTGTTCACTAACTTACCATTATAGCATCACCAATATTGATATCCTAACATTTCATATGCTAAGTGCCAACCTACTTACTACACTGTTATAGCATCATCACTGTTGCTAACTTGCCATTATTACAACATCTTGCTATTTTACTATTGCTTTCTATACTATCTTATTATACTGCTATAGCAGCAATAACTAACTAACTTACTATACTATCTTATTATTCTACTATACTTACTTACTATACTAACTTACTAACTAACTTACTTACTATACTAACTTACTAACTAACTTACTTACTATACTATCTTATCTATCTTATTCTACTAACTAACTAACTTACTATACTAACTTACTTGCTATACTATCTTATTATTCTACTAACTTACTATACTAACTAACTATACTATCTTATTATACTAATTGCTAACTGACTTACTTACTATACTATCTTATCTATCTTATTCTACTAACTAACTAACTTACTTACTAACTTACTATACTTGCTAACTTGCTTATTATACTAATTACTTACTTACTATACTAATTACTTACTTACTATACTTGCTTACTTGCTTACTAACCAACTTACTTGCTTATTATTCTACTGTTGTTTACTAACCAACTATTTTTATAGCATCATTGCTATTGTTATTTTACTATACTAATTGCTTGCTACTGTCTTATTGATCTTTTATGCTTACTGCTTACTAACTAACTATTACTGTTTTACTGTCTTAATATCTTGCTAGACCAATTGCTATCGTACTGGCATGCTTTCTGCCTGGACTACGCATGGCTTATTACTTATTGAGATTTTGTTTTCTTTTTATGGAGGCCCGTCTAAGCACGTACAAGGCAGGACACGGCCCGGATGAGCTGTTTAGCGAGAACCTAGACCAATTCTGGCACACAGACGGAAACCTGCCGCATTATATAGAGATAGAGTTTCCCGTGGTGATGAAGCTCGTGGAGATACGCATGAACTTGGGATACACGCAAGATAAGAGCTACATCCCGAAAGAGATCGAAATACGCTGTGGGAAAACAAGAGACGGAATTGGCTCGCTTAAAACAGTCATGATAAGCGATAAAATGCCTGTTGTAGGGATCCCTGTGAATGAAGAGTGCTGCTTTCTCCAGATGATCATTCTAAGCAACCACCAGGAGGGCAGGGACTCGCGCATACGCGGGCTGTCCCTTACATTTCTAGATTGACCCTGTGCTGTCTCTCTGTGCCTGCAAATTTTTACAGAAATCACTGAATTTATACTTTAGGTTGCAGATTTAATAGAATAAGAGTGGCAAATTTCCCAAAGGGGAAAGTACAAAAAGCAAAAGTATAAAAGACGCGCAAACTTTTGGACCAGAACATTTGCGAGAAACCAAAATAAAAAGCAAAAAGTGTAAGAGTGGAGCCGAACCTGCGCACTGCAGAGATGCCTGCATGTGCGCGAAGACTTTGCCTCCGCAGGTGCCCAGCGCGCTATAACCCGAATATTGGAAGAATTCGCACTCCTCTGTGGATATCGAATTTGCTTTCTCGTTTACTCCTTCCTGCAGGCTTCTTCTAAGTAAAAGGCGCTCTCCTGGGAACTCTGCACTGAATTCAAAGACTAATTGGAAATACAATAATGCATTTATTGCCTGGAGTGTGCTAGACGGAACATAACCACACGGGTTGAATGCGCCTGCTTTTATAAGCCCTGCAAATACGCTCACTCTAGCGCTCTTAGATAGTCCTGTGATACGCTTAGCTGCGTCAGGAATGTGTCTGGGAGATTCTTCTTCATTTTAAGCGTGATTTTCCCGGGGACATTCCCATTCAGCGAGACTGACATGCGTATGCGCGTGTCCTCCTTCGCGGCAGCATCCATCACGGAAGTGCTTTTGCAGAAAAAAGAGCAGAAATTTGTGGTGGGATTTCTTGGTATGTAAATAACCCTGCAATTGGTTATAAAGACAGAGCCACTGTCTGATTTGTGCCAGTACGTGTCGAATAGACCCCCTTCTCCAACTACGATGTGAAATCCCACAGACTCCGCAGTGTATAGAAGCATTTCGTTGTCGTCTAGGGGCAGCGGTGTCCCTGCTTTGGTGAATAAACACATGTTGAAGTTCCTGTACGACTCTCTAAGCATGTGCAAACAGTCTCTTTTTATTTTTATTTTCTATAAATACGCATGCGAAAAATATTTTCAGTAATGACTTTACTTTACAGAATCATTTGTATAGTAAGCATGCCACTGATTTACTTCTTAAATTAGTGCCAACTCGATACTGGGATGAGGAAGAACAACTTCGCTTCTTTAATTAGAAGGTAAGGCAGGAGTGTCTTCGGACTCTTCTAGCTTTTTTGATGAACTTATTTCCTCCGGAGGCTACTCTGTTGAGGGAGAAGTGAAGTATTCTGACCAGTGTTATAAATTAATATCTTCGTGCGGAGCTGTAGGCTATTTCCAGGTTTGGCGAGTACTCACATGCGCTAGCAGACGCAAGAGCGTGCTTTTTTATGCAAGAATTGTGCCATGGAGTCCACTTTATACGCGATGCTAGAAGGGAAAGCCAAGAAAAATAGCGGAAATTCCAGTTTATTATACCGGCAGCAGCTTAGAGCATATGAGCAGTATTGCAAAAAGAGCACTTCCCTGGACTCCCAGACTTACGCTGGAGCTTGCCCCGGATGTAGACGCTGCGCTTCTAGTAGAAGCATACGATGGATGCGCGCATAGTTTTTGCTTGCTGTGGATTCGGGTGTGCTCCGCCAGTGTTATATTCCCGTAGAGCAAAGACTTTTCTTCAGCCTCAGTTTTTTCCTTGAGGCATTCGCTTGCTCCGCCCTTGCATACGGTCTCTAGCCAATACACGTATGACTCGTAGCATTTGTTTGCTTTCGTCATGTGGCGCATCAAGACTTTTTCCAGGGGCTTAAGCGGCTCCAGACTCGCATTTATGTCGATCTGCGTAAATGTTTTCTCTGGCAGGACTACAACCAGCTCATCTGGGTATATGCGCTTCTTTACCATTTCGCACAGCGCCTTCACATAGGCTAAGTCCCACTCTATCGTCTCCATTGGAGTGTCCCACGCCTTATTCAGCCCGAGTTCTACGGTGGATTCGTCGTAGTCAGCTAGCAGATCGTAATAAAAGCAGTTAGAGTCTGCGCACGTGTAAAACTGCCTGAATGTTTGGTTTCTGATTAGGTCCAGAATGGAAGCACCAATGCTGTTCTCGCTTCTGTTTTTTTGCGTTATGAGCTTGATCTCCCCGCCGCCAGAGTTTTCGTTCATAGCAGTAAGTGCGCATTTCACGCTCTCTGTAATCTCATCCATATGCCTAAACTGCTCAAGCATGGAGAAGATCTCGGCCCGAAGATGGCTTGCAGCTATTCTGTGCGTTATTTCTACTTTGGGCATGCATTTCAAGAGGTTGTGCGCCTGCGTGTACTTCGTGTACGTTGAAATCATCCTGTTCAGGAGATTTTCACACACAGAGCTGTATATGAATACGGGGGCAGTGAGAATTTCACCGACCCTCGCATCTCGCAAGCCGACAGAGACATTCCGGGTTTCTATGATCTGGGCCAGCATATCCCTCAGGTTGGAGTAGTAGTTTTTGGTTTCCAGGCACTGCATTGCCTCCATGTGCAGAATTTCGTACCTGTTGTCGCGGTTTCTGGAGATTTTTCTAAGGTACGCCTCGCCTATGTTCGGATTCAAGACCCCCAGCAGGTTCATGTACTGCTCTTCAGAGTTTGTGCACGAAAAGCGAGACATTTCTATGTTTGTAGCAGGAGATACATTTTTTCCGTCGTACATACAGTTAAACCTGGCATCTCCGTGCGGAATATAGCCAAATCCCATGTTCTTTGCGCTTATTATCGTATGTCTTAGCTCCACCAATCGGTCTTTTTTCTCCGGGCCAAGAACGCTTTTGCTCACTACAGCACCCAGGCGGAAAGAGTCTCCGGGCCTGTCTCCTGTTAAGCAAAGCATCCTATCAGAAACATTCGGTTTTAGCTGGCGCAGCCCCGTGTAGGCATTTCTCGTGGCCCCACAGGTGCTGCTTCTTGGTCTGCTAATAGCAATTCCTATTGAAAAGAGAATAGTGCCCATAGAGACTAAACAGAGAATTAAAAATCCTATTTTAAAGAAATTCATCTCTTTCTTTTGGTTTATTTTTCCATGCTTTTCTAGTTATATATGCTAGAATTAATTTGATTCCATCAGGCCGTTGGATCAATATGATGTGAAAAGGTAAATTTTGAAAGTTCACTACAAGAAAAAAAGTCCTTTTATTTAAGAAGTTCTGCAAATCTGCGCATGTCCTGGAGTATTTCCTGCTGAAGCCAGAATTCTGGCTTCTGGATTTCTGTGCTGCTCCAGGCATGAACAAGGCAGCGCATATGCCCCGTGCAGAGTCGACTGTCTCTCGAGTGGGAGCTCCTATGGGCGCATATCCAGCCTGTTTTTTCTTCTATGAAAGAACTTTTTCGCTCCAAACGCACTTTGTGTGCATTTATAGCGCCTGCCAAGCCACAGATGGGTAGCTCACGGCGTTCTGGGCACACTGTGGAAGTACAGCATGCCTTTGTGAACTTCGTTTTCCGCTGGAAATTTAGCACTTTCCGCCCTGCAGAGCTTCCTCTAAATTTTCAGCTTTTCTTTTCTCGTGCAGTTTAAGCTGCAAGCCCTCGATATGTGAAGAAGGACGGACACTTCCCGCACAAAAACAGCCTGAATGCATCGGGTCGTGGGAAAACAGATTTAAGTCTGTTTTGAAGCATAAATATTTGGGCTGGAAAGCGTGCGATCACTGGAAAGTGCGGGAAACCCCCGCAGGAAAAGCCAGGACTCCGTGCAAAAGGCCAGAGCAGCACTGCAGGGAAAGATACATATTCGGGTTAGGTGTACACGTGCATGATCGCTGTTCTGCCGTCTCTGCAGGGTTTTCCGCGTTTTCTTGTTTGTTTGTCTGCGTCTCCACGTAGTATACACAAACAAACGCCTTTTGTATATAACCCCGAATGCAGTAATGTGGATGCAATTTGCTCCTTCAGTCATACACACGCTCGAAGACGCGCAGAAGATTTCAGGGGATAAGAAAGTACATTTGAGCAGTGCAGAGCCACTTTACGCCCAAGAGTCCGCGAGAAACAAAAGCGCCGAGGACATATTCGCAGGCGCCAGCACATTCAGCAAGAAAAAGAGCATGCATCGGCCCGTTATGTTGACAGTTACGTACTCCAACGAACTTTTGTTTAGCGCCAGAGAGATACCCAAAGATGCGTATACGATCGTTGTAAACGAGAATACGCCCGTCCCCTTTAACGACCTAAACACCGCCATGAAGGAAAGCATGCGCATTGAGAGGCTTCTAATTGAAAAGCTAGAAAGAAATGAAAGTGTGCAAAAAAGTCTGTGTTTTTTAACTACAAGTACGGGTTTATTTTACATAAGCAAGCAAAGACTGCTTGGAGAAATACTCAAGACACAGCGCAAGATAGAGCGCATCCGCGCCCTCACTCTTTTGGCCGTGCAGGCGCCCTTGGAGGCATTTATTAAGAAGCTGTGCACGCTGAAAGTAGTAGCTGACATTGCATATCCGGAAGAGTCCAGCCGGGTGAGTGCGTAGAAAGCGGAAGATAATAAACTGGCCAGTAAATATACGAACTAATACGCAGGGAGCACTCAGAAGGCACTCCATGATCTTTTAACGGAAAATATTCCTCGAATAGCCCGAATTATCTATGGGCAAAATACGGCTATTCCCAGGAAAGGAGAGTCTATTTTCATTTCTACTTTATTCTATTGTGACTTTAGGCCCATTTCGAAGAACTTCGCCGGCATTACAGAGATAAGCACCAGGCCGGGTGCTCCTATGAGGTTGAATGCGACTGTAGCTGCTATTTCCTGGTTGAAATGCGCCCATCTGTGGCCAAACCGAATGAAAGCATCCAAAGGCACCTGAGAAGCCATTGCAAAGAACCCGAGCCCCCTGCATTTGAGGAGATCCCCAATAATATACTCGTGCACGGCTCCACTCACTATAAATATGACCAATTTACTGCTTCTTATCGTTATATTTCTCTTGATGAGGTTCTTGTGGACGTGCCTGCGTATCCACTTGTACACCAGGGAGTTCCAGTTTCTCCAGTATCCAGAGACTGATGCATTCCACCACGCGCCGAAGAAGTTTCTGTCTCCAAACCGCGTGAGCTCGCTTTGCAGGCCGTATGCCGCTATAAAAACGAGGGAAAAGACGGAAACCCACCCTAAATTGCACCACATAAAGACGCTCACGTACTTGTCCACTGTCAGGTCCTCCCAGAAGGAAATTGCTGCATTTCTGCAGCGGACTTTCAGGCAGTAGTAGGAAAGCACTGCCAACGGCCGAATCATAAGCGCATACATAACGACAGAGTATACGGATATGCTTGGGCTCATGGGATACGCACTTTGGTAGCAAAGTGTGGGCAGTGCTATAAACCTCCACACGCTCACGGCTTCATTTGGCTTGTCGATGATGCGATCGTCTGGCCCCAGAATTGCACTTTCCCGCGTCGAGAGAATGTACGAAATCCCCTTCATGAGCTGGCAAATGCTTAAATATCGCAGCCCCAGCCCGACAAAGCCCTTCGCAGTAAAGAGGGCAACGACAGTCTCCAAGGAAATGCATGCAAGTATTACGCTGTAAATAACGAGGGCTTCCAGGTGCTCGGATACTCCGTATAAAATCCCCCACCTGAAAATATTCACGCCAAGAAAGCTCAGGATTGCTGCAGGGCTTATGCTATCCTGGATATCGCTGTGCATGAGCGCAATAACTCTCTGGGGCCTGCTGCTAAAGTGGACCTGATAATTTATAAGCACAAGTGCAACCATTATCCACGCCCACCCTCCTTTTCCAACTTCCACCCTATCGAGTATTTTACTATGCTTGTGGTGTGCACACTTACTATGCACTCTATTCATATAAAATATTTGTATTAAAACAAATAGAAAATATACTGTAGATATGTTCATTAGAGAAGTGAATAGAGAAAGCACGGCAAATGTAAATTGTAAAGGAGCAAATATTTTGTGTCTTTTATGCAACTGTGAAAGCACTGTTGTATCCCGAAGAAATAGCAAGTGGATAAGTCTGTGCTATGTGGAGGTGCTGGAGGTATCTAAAGATAGGGCGTATCCAGCATGCTCCCACTGCAAGAATGCACTTCCACATGAGTTTACAATTTGCAGAAAGTGCAGGCATATCATACACAAGCCGAATACAGAGTGTGAGGAGTGCAGATAGGGATATATCTGGCTTGCTCTCTGTACTAGTTTCAGCGGGACTTTCTGCTTTTCTTGCAAGTGCAGGAACTGCGAGAGTTTGCTCGATTTATTCGGGCAAAAAATTTACAGCATGGGAAGAACGCAGCAGGAGAGGCTCTCGCAGGCAAAAAGGTCTGGAGGGCACTTGAAGGTGCACAAAGGGAAAAATTTCAACCGGGAAAAGAAGAAGCTAAAGAGAGGGAAAGTTCGCCTGGGGAAAATAGACACATCTGTGCAATCGTTTAAATTTGATGATTAAAGGCAGAGGCGGAGTATCCGGGATGCGTCTTGTGTAAGCCTGCTGCATCTAAGTTTCTGCTCCAAAATAAAGAAAGACGCATTTACAGGATTTCAGGGCAGTATTTGGCATATTTACAGGAGAGTTCTCCAATGCACAGCAAAAGGTGATTTACTTAATATCCACTAAGTGTTCTTTAAGTATTCTTTATTCAGTTATGCCCTAAGTATTCTTTAGTTATTCTTTAAGTATTCTTTATTCAGTTATTCCCTAAGTATTCTTTAAGTATTTTTTATTCAGTTATTCCCTAAGTATTCTTTAAGTATTCCTTATTCAGTTATTCCCTTGGCATTGTTTATTACCTGTTGTTTATCCGCTGTAAATGGTCTAATGTGCACTTTATAACGGGGAAAGACTTAAGCAGGCAGAACTTGCACAAACAGGAAATTTATGAGAGCATTCCCAGATGAAAAATTCAGTTTTTTATTGGCTTTATTCCGCATGAGCACTCCTATGCTAATAAAGAGCACTCTATAACGGGAAAAGGCTTAAGCAGGCAGAACTTGCACAAATAGTCGAATACTCTGCCTTTATTTCGCAAGCCTCCTCCTGTCTCTATATTCCTTCTAGTACGCCCCATTCAGTATTTCGGACGTCCTGTGGAGAGTCTTTGAGATCTCTTCCCCCTCCTTCCGCGGGAAAGCAGCTTCTCTCTTCAGGAGCTCTCTCAGGACTCTCTGCACGACCCCAAAGAGCGAGAGAGAGCGCACCCACCGCATGGCCACTTTCGCAAACTTCTCCATCTCCGCAGAAACTGCTTCCACGAGTGCTGAGATATCATCTTCCTGCTTAACCTCCCGGAGAGCAATTCCTGCCTCCCTGAGCATGTCCAGTCTGTAGTACTCGAGTGCTGCCAGAACGTGCATTCCCCCCTTCGTGTAGGAAATTGCCCTCTGTTTTGCCAAGTACTCCTCCTTCTTTTTCTGCTCTTTCTCCCTCTCGATCTCCCACGTACTGTCTCTGACGAGGCAAATGGAGGGGCCAACGGACAAAATGTACTCTCTCTCTGCGAATGCTCTCATTGCCCAAATTCTCTCATTTTTCAACTCCGTCATTCTCATAGCAGCAAGTTCCTTATGCGTTGCCAAGTTCCAGATTCTGAGGACTCCGTCTGAAGTTGCTGTGAGTGCTCTCTCTGCGAGGAGGGTCTTAACAACGGATGCATTATGCTGCAGGATTGTGCTTGCTCCTGACTTCCAGAATCTTGCAGTTCCATCGACGGATCCACTGAGCATTGCGCTCTCATGCGTGCTAAGGGCCCAAATCCCCTTCCTGTGCCCGGATAATTTGCTGCACACTTTCCCCGTGAAGTCCAGGGCGGAGATCTCCTTTGCCTTGCTGCTGCAGTGGATTTTTCCGTTGAAAATGCAGATTCCCGTTACTTCCGTCTCCCCCACGGATGCTGTGAAGAGGAGAGAAAGATCTTCCGCCCTCCATCCACTGACGATCCCGGACTCGTGCCCGGAAACGAGGACTCCCGCGTGCAGGCACAGAGCTGTAACGGGAGACTCTGTTTTTGCGTCTAGAATGGGCCTTACAGGGGAAGTACTGCTGGAAGGAGCCTCGTACTTCGTGATATAACCGTCTTTAGTCCCGCTGAAAAAGTGGGTTTCATCAGCATCGCACAGGGAGAGAGTGCAGTCTGCATTCTGGGAGGCGAACATTTGCCCGAAAAATGCGCATTTACTTGCCTCTGTGTCGGGGCTCTTTGCAATTGCGGATATTTCCATTGCCCGGATAAACCTGCTATTTGTTCCCACGATGAGCCTATTCCCCTTAACGAGCATATCCGTTATTTCGTCGTTATTTCCCACGAAAATTCTATCTGCAAATTCCTCCTCCAAAGAGCAGATCAAAAGATCGCTTTCCTCCGTTGTCAAGAGGCACTCCTCCCCGAAGACGTGGATTCCGTTCACTGCGGGAGTATCCAGGGCTTTCCTCCGGGTAAGTTTCATCTCCTGGTCCAGGAAGAGCAGGGAGTCAGGACTCGCCAAAATCAGGGCCTCCCCAAGCGCAGATCCTGCGACTATTGGAGCCTGGAGGTTTCGCACGAGCATATCACTTCCTATCGCGTGCTCAATCAGGAGTCCATCTCCTCCTGCCGTTAGAATCCTGTTTCCCACGCTCCCAACGAAGGAAACACTTCCCGAGTGGCAGGAAGTCTCCCTATATATAACGTCTCCGTGGAGGTTGAAAAGAGTCACACTCCCCAGGGCGTCTCCCACTGCGAGGATCTGGCTCCCGACTTTGTACGGCCTTTTAGCAGACGCCATTTCCACGCACTTCACAGCAGAAACAAACCCGTCCACTTTTTTGTGCAAAATTACATCTTCCGTCTCTGCATTCACGAGAAAAACAGAGCCCTCCGCAGTCCCCAGGAGAATCATACCGCTCTGGGCATCAGCACATCTCACGATGCTATTCTTCATGATGCTTCTAAGCATGCCACTATTCGGGCTGTATATGTAGACGTCCCCTGTGACTGTGGAGATGAGGACATCCCCAAAAACCGGGAATACTCTCACGATTTCGCTCTCCACCTCCTTCACGACCTCTATTCGGCCACTTTCCGCGTGAGTCCCCACCAAAGCACTATTGTATCCCGTGTATAGAGTCCTCCCTATCATGCAAGCCCCAAGTGCGTTAAATATTGGCTCTATCCTAGCCGTCTCTCGAATGCCCTCTGTTTTCTCTGGGTTCATAAACTGCGAAAATATTTTCGCATAAATGCGCTGCAAATTTTATCGGGAAAAGCGTAGCTTCTGCGGACGAAAAGTCTCCATTTTTCTCGGGCAGAACTTTCTGGGCAAAGCCAATTTATTTACGAGCCTGCAGAGGCTGGAGTGCAGGCAAATGCAAAAGGGCACTTTAATACTCCCGAGTGATTTTCCGGCATCTTCTGGGACTTTCTGCTTTGACGATTTCCTGGGAAATTCCTGCAGTTTCAGGTCGATATAACTGCTGCACCTACATGAAAGGCGTTGCTATTTTGCTCCATCTATCAGGGTCTTCCTCCTGGGACTCTGTCTTTGCCTTTTTCAAGAGGGCTCCGTGCTTCTCGCTCATTCCCTCGACTCTTCTAAGGGCTCTCTTCATGGGGGGTCTTTTCTCCTTTGCTGCTCTGACCTCTCCCAAGTCGATTCCGTATGCCTCCTGGAGTGCGTCTACTCTCTCTGGGTCCTCAATCAGGAGTCCAACGATTGCTGCTCTGGTGTTTTCGTCTGAGTTTGTTGCGTATGCGCTTACAAGGACGCTTACCATTGCCCTCAATACGTCTCTGGCGTACTCTGATGCTTTACTTCCTGCGATTACTCCCTTGACTCCCTGCAGGACGCTTCTAACGGGGTATTCTCCGAATTCCACGAGATCGTAAAGCACCTGTCCCTCGACTGGGGACTTGCACTCTGCTGCGATGCTTCCCACGATGCTCTGCACTGCACTTCCGTGAGCGTGGTCATTTTCCAGCATCTGCCTCTCGAGTTCTCCCTTCGCCCGGATCCACATCTTCTGGAGGAAAGCCTCGTGGACTTTTTCCTGGAGAAACGGGAGGATTTTAGCGACTTTTCTGAGCTCAACTACGCTTCCTGCGTCTATCCTGGAGAAGACTTTCTCCAAAACCTCCCTCCCAAAGAGCTGTACTGCGTCTACTCTGGCCTTTTTCAGGGCGCTCTCCCTCTCCAGGAGCTTACTCAGTGCCTCGATCTCATTTATGATCTCTTCTCTCGCGAGCAAGTGCCTGATAAATTCGTCAAAAAGCCCAAACGCCAAGTGCGGACACTTCTCTATCATGCTAATAAATGCGACTACGCCTTTTCCTGCGAAGTTATTTACTGCTCCCAGGACGAGGCTGTCTCTCTGCATGAGAAGTCCCAAGGAAACTGCCAAGTCGATGCTGTAGAAGTTATTTGCTGCGAGTGCTCTCTCGTACAGGGCGAGGATCTTCTGGTCTGAGACTGTGCCCATTTCGTGCATCATTTCAACGGCTTCTCTAACGGCATTGCACTCCTTCTGTGTCTTCATCTGTGCCTTCTCCAGGGAGTGCAGTGCCTCTCCTGCGTCCTTAAAGACAACTGCCTGTTTCAGGTCCAGGAATGGATTTCCTGTGTAAACTGGGCAGATCAGGTTCCTGATAACGACTTCTGCGAGGGAAGAAGGCATATTCCAGTGGCACTCTCTGAACATTTCCGTGTTCTGCTCCTTCGCCAGGGCCCCTACTGCGCCCACTACTCCGAGGACTCCCTCCGTGACTGCCCTGTTTTCCTCTCCCTCCGAGTCCAGGGCCTTTGCCAGGCGAACGACGAATTCCGGGTACGGAACTGCCAGAATACCTGAAAGATCGCAGGATTTTTGCTTGCAGAAACTCCTTATAAGTTTCAGGTAGACTTTCAGGAAAGCCTCTATCTCTGCCGAGTCCATCTCCTCAAGGAAGAATATGCACTGACTCACTGCCTTGTACGCTAGAGGGGCGCTTTCTCTCCCAGATCCTTCGAGGATGTTTACGTTATTTCCCACGAAAGCAGCTGCGAGTGGCGGACTCTTCGTGCAAAGGGCGGAGAGTATCCCGTGGAAGAGGCTGGGATTCGCATTTATCGTGATATTTCTGATGAATCTGGAAAGTGCCTCGTTTGTGGCTGGGTCTTCTCCCTCCAGGGTCTCCAGGAGAAGGACTGTGATGCGGTCGTTAACGATGTCAAGCCTATTCATAAGCAGAAGCACCTCCAGAACGTCTATTCTGCTGCCGCACTGGTACAACAGTGTGAGCAAGTTTCCTTCTATCTTGGAAATTGCTTTTTTTAGTTCGTATCTTCTTTCTTCCGTTATTTCCAGGGAGTCACTCACAAGTTGCAGGAAGTTCTTCAGGGCAAGGACTCCCAAGGGGTTTCTGTTGTGAATGAGCGCGGAGAGAGTGTTCACGAATTGCGGCATCTTTATGGGCCAGTAGAAAAGGGCTGCGGAGGAGTACAGGGAGGCTGCCTTGGAAATCTCCAAATGCGTAGAAAAGTGTACACTTTCCAGGATGTACTGGACACTTTCCAGGAAATTATCCAACTCCTGCTCGGTCCTGGGCTTGTTTAGGCTTTTCTGCAGCAAAATAAGACAGTAGAATTTTCCCATGGAGTCTTCTTCCTGCATTCTTTGAAAGATAATAGTCCGCCTGTCTTCCGTTTCTGTGTAAGGAAGCAACTTATCCTGGTCCTGCTGTGTTACTTGCTTTTTTAGTGATCCAATAATACGCTCGAGGTTTACAGCACTGTAGTCCATTACAAAAAATTTAAAAGAATAAAAGAATAAAAGGGGAAAACCCCGAATTTTGCCTGCAGAGTCCCAGGGCCTGCAGAAAGCGGGCGGAAGCCATTGGAGCAGCAGGGAGAACTTTTTACGCGGGAAACTCCATGTCAAAAAAGCAGAAGAAGCCTGTGGCGGAGTGTGCCTATTTGTTGCACAGTGCATGATAAGTCGCAGAGGAGCAGGGGCACAATCTACTGTGCACTGCATAAAAAGTCTTGTTATGACGCACTGCACAGTAAATAACAGAATGTTTATATGAAATATGACGCACTGCACAGTAAATAACAGAACATATTATGACTTACTCTACACTGCACAGTAAATGCTAAGAATCATTGCATAACTTACTCCACACTACACAGTAAATAACAGAACATATTATGACTTATTCCATACTGCACAGTAAATGCCCCGATTTGTGATGCACTGCGTAGCAAATAGCACACGTCATGCTAAAGTGCCCAGTAAATCCTAAGAGTGCTTTACAACTTACAGTGTCCACAGAGGAGATCTTCGTGCCCGAGCACTTGAATCCTCCCAGCACGAACCCCAGAATCCGCGTCTTTTCTCGAAATTCCATTTCCGAAATTTTTCTTTGTTATGGGCATGTTTTCCTCGCTCCGAAAGTACTTGAACCTGCGGACAATGCACGAGTCCCCATGCAGTGGAACTGTCTCCGTCTCCCTCGTGAGAGTCCCCCGAAATAGAACCGTCTCCGTGAGATTCGGCACTGAAGAGGCCGTTTTACACGTGAAAAACCCCATCGCAGAGTTCGATGTTTTCCCGAATGCAGCCAGAACCCTCTCAATAGACGCCCAGGAGTACGAAATATGCACAAGAACTCTAGAGCTAGAGAGTACAACCGTCAAGATAGAACTGACAAAGCACAAGCTGAAAATACAGCCCACTGACTTCACGCGAGTAAAGCTCCTAAGCGCTGGAAGGTCTAAGGTCTATCTCGTACGGTACAATCCCTCGGGGCGAACTTACGCGTGCAAAGTCAGAAAAAAGTCAGAGAAAAATCACGCCCTCGTAAACGAGAAAAACCATCTCGTAAAGCTTAAAAGCCCATTTTTAATTCCCCTTTTAGCCTCTTTCCAGTCGGAGAATGAGCTTTTTCTTGTTTTCCCGCACTATAAAAGAGACCTTTTCAGCCTTCTCGAGGGAGGAAAACTTCCTGAGAGAGTTGCACGGGTGTACTTCTGCGAAGTACTTGCAGGACTCGAGCACGTCCACAGGATGGGCATCATATACAAGGACGTTAAGCCGGAAAATATCCTTCTAGACGGAGGGAATCACGTGGTTTTGTGCGATTTTGACGCTTCTGTGAACGCGGAGAGTGCGGGAATGGCGAACTTTCAGGGGACGCTCGAGTATATGCCCCCGGAGGTTTTTACAACGGGGAAATACGGGCCCAGCTACGACTTCTACACGCTGGGAGTCCTCCTGTACGAAATGATCGTGGGAGAGACGCCCTTCCAGCGGGGAGAGAACGAGGATGAAGACGACCTCGTGAATAAGATCTTGTACGAGGAGGCGGAATATCCTGGGGTGAGTGCAGAAATTCAGGTGCTAATTTCAGGTTTGATGCACAGAGACCCTGGAAAGCGCCTGGGAAGTGCTGGCGTACGAGGGAGTGCGTGGCTGCAGGGAATGGACTGGGAGAAAGTCCTTGGGAAAGCGTACTCCATCGATGTCCCTGCCCCAGAGAGTGAGGAAAAGCCCGTGGAGGACGAGAGCGTGGAGGAAGACAGCTGCAGGAATACGGTGCATGGATTCACGTGGATGGCCGAGGAGTGGGATGAGGAGTAGAATAAGGAAATAGAAACACCGTCATAGAGTAAAGAGTATAGTTATATCTAAGTTATATCTAAGTTATGAGATAGTTGTAATGGGATGAGTATAGATAGTTGTAATGTGATAAGTTATATGTATATATAGTTGCATGAATAAGTTATGAGTATAGATAGTTATTATAGTGAGATATAGATATAATGTGATAAGTTGTTATAATGTGATACCTTGTAGAAGACAAATAGTTATGTCAGGATAGATAGCTATAATATGGTATAAGACGATAACTTCCCTACTGCATCTGCTTTCTCCTATACTCTCCTATGATTTTCTCTTCTGAAAATTCTTTTTTGTTTTTTCGTTTCACCCCATGGAGGACCAGTTCATAATACGCCCCCCGGAAAGCATA